ATGTTTTGATTTGAATATTAGTACAATCGGCATATCTTCAGAATTATATCTATTTTTAAAAATATAGCCTTAGCAAATATTTTTAAACCTCATACTCAACTAGCTCGAAGTTCGGAACAGATTGTATTTTATTTTATTTCTATGGCGCGTATTCGCAAATGACATAAATTAATCAAAAGCAGTTCTGTTGTCATAATCGAATCAATAATCACAATTGAATTCATTTCATGCATATCAAAATATTCAATTATTGTTAATATAGTATCGCTTTGTTTGCATATTTTCGAATATCTACAGGCATTTATGAAAAAAAATCCTTTTGTGTCTGCGAATCAGTGAATCGAGTGTTTGCGATTTGACATACAAAATGCATTAAAATCTGTTCGCTTTTGATTGTGTCTTTGTTACTTTTCGCAAATAATGCGGAATTCACCCGGAGCTCCATTAATATAATTGCCATTGTAGATGTCCCTGGCTCGGATGTGATTCTCTTTGCGGAAAAATGTTATTTTAATTTGCATTATTTGCACAGAGCACAATTGCCTGATTGCTAACTGGAAAATAGTTTATACCCTGATTACTTTAGAGCCAATTGTAATTGGCCGTGCAACCAAATCGGGAATGGCTGGGTAAACATTAGTATTTATTTTGTCATTTGCATTAAATTGATCCCTTGTTTGTTATTCCAATTTGAATAAATGTGACATTTTTAGTAGAAATAAATGTAGTAAAGGCAAAAAAACTGATGAATCTGTACAATTTTCTATAAAAGTATCAGCTTTGGGATTCTAATCAGAATTCTAACCAGGGCTGAAACCATGGGATTCTAATCAGAATTCTAACCCGGGTTGAAGCTATGGGATTCTAATCAGAAGTTCTAGGTTCGACCAAGATTTAGATATCAATATAGTTCCAAGCGAAAATAGCCTTTTTGGGCATTGATAAAAACGACCGAGGGGTTGCCTCATAATAGCTATCATTATTAAAAATCAAATATATCTTATATTAAGTTATAAGAATTATCAATAAATTATATACTAATACTCGCTGTTCTTAATAATTAGGCGGCGTCCATTAATCATGTGAGGTTTTTAGGGAGTGGGGGGGTTAGACCAAAAATCACAAAAAACTACGTGGGGACGGAGAAGTATAGTAAGATATCACGTGTATTTATTTTTTAATTATTATTAAAAAAAATTTAAAATTATCAAAAAAAAATCAAAAATGTTACAGTTTTTTCACGAAACTAAAAATGCACGTGATGTTTGATGGGGAGGTAATTTTGAATATCGCCATGTATCACCAAGGCGGAAGGGGGCTCCAAAAATCCTCAAAAACTGGCTCACGTGATTAATAAACGCCCCCTTAACAGTGCTTAATACAGCTTATAGAAATTGTAATACTCCTGAATGCTTTAAAATAATAAAAAAATGTATATATCGTTTTTTTTATTTGAATATCTAAAAGCCTTTATTTCAAGAGGAGTTTAAATAATTGCTCTCTTATTGTATATTAGAGGCATATTGGCTTTACCACCACAAGGTTTCACATTCAATTCCTAACTCGTAAAACCTGATGTCAAACAGTACCAAAATCAGTTTTTGATTTGAATTAAACATGATTTCTAATGAAAATAACCTTTTAGTGCAAAGCTGTTTTATCACAATTAGAAAGGACGACCTTTTGGATTGGCTTGTAGGAGTTTCAGATGTAAATCTGATAAATATATACCTCAATTAGTACAGACAATCAGTGGATTTTGGAAATAATAAAATGAACAAAACAAATTTGATAAACAATAAAAAGACTAAAATAAGCATCGTTCAGAACAGCTTATAAAATTAATAATAGATTGATGATGATATAAGACTTTTCTAATTCTAATTGTTCTTTTATAAGACAACAAAACAATATTTAATGTTGAAGTAATATGTTATTAAATCTCAAAAACCAAAAATCTTTCAATTTAAGAATAACAATAATCTATAACAATCTATTATAGTTATAACAATCTATTATAATTATAGAAAGGATACGAGTGTTATTTACAAATTCAAATACCTACTACATTTAATCTTGATCACCTACATGCAAACCTGTAGAATAATAAACTAAAATGATATTGCTTCTAATTAGCGATCATAAATTTCTTTTTATATTGTAATAAACTTCACTAAACATTGGCTTCAAAATATATTATTCTACTTTATGAATATGACATGAAAATTTTGAACCTTCAAATGAGTGATGTAACCTTTGTGTAACCTTTTCACGTTGAATTTATTAAGCAAACAGTTGTTACTAGTAGGGTAGAAAATTTTCCCCTTTTATTTCATTCGGGGATGATTTTATAAACGGCACAGCATGATTCCGGAGATCCGTAATCGGTTTTATACATCTGCTTTCTTTGACATTTGCTCCTTGTATAGACAATAATTTTGTTGATGACAATTTTATGAACTTTATGTTTAATATAACAGAACATAATGAAATATCTTGGTCTCCATTTAGACAGCAGACTTACTTGAAAAAGCCACCAATAAAAACAAAAAAGCAGCAAGTAATGATAAAAATGAAAAATTGATTAGCTACTGCGTAAAAAGTCTAAGCTCTCTGTTCATTAAACCAATCTGGACCTACGGAATTGAGCTCTGGAGATGTGCTTACAAATCAAATATAGCTATAATGCAGAGAACTCAGTCAAAATTTTACGTACAATACTTAATTCTTCGTGGTACGTTACAAATGAAACCATTCACAGCGATCTCAACATGAAAACTGTGCAATTAACGTCAAAGAATTTAAGGAAAATACAAAGGTAAACTGGAATCACATTCAACCCCATCAATAGGCGACATTTTACAACCATTTGGCGTAAGGAGATTAAAACGTCAATGGCCTTTAGATTTAGTCTTAGATTAGCTCCAATATATCATTATCTTTTTAATTGTTAAACTAAGAAGATCTCATTGGAGTTCTTCTTAGACATCCCTCTCAAATATTGTCAATTTAGCTTATAAAAATTCTTATGTATTTCTGATTGCTGAAATAAAACAGAGTTAAAATAAAAAAAAATATTAAAGCTTTAGCTTACTTAATGATTTGTCATGACTGATAATTTTTTTAATTTTAATTTTCAAAACCATTCTTTAAACTTATTCCCTGTACAATATAGTTATGTGTTACACGTACCATTAACCTCATATATTTTTTATCCATTTAAATTTAAAGTCAATTACATTCGTGTTTGATATGGGTACATCATTATACCCGTTATATAGTTACTATATTCACCCGAACAGGTAGTCCGTAGAGTATTCTCATCCGACCGCGGACAACGTGATATCATACACTAATGATATCTATTTTTGCTTCAAAAAATAAATGGAGAATATGTTTCCAATTAAAAATAGTCCGCAAATAGTATAGTGCGGTGTAAAATCGTACTGGGAAATTTCTGATATTAAATTTTTCTTGAATTGATTGGAGAGTGTGAGCAATCATTTTCAGAATTCATTGATTTAGTTTTTAATATCACTTACAAATAAAGAATAAACTTGTATGGCATCGTACCTTAAAGCAAATTGCTGGATCTTCCCGTATCGTAACGAAATGTTCGAGGAATTTTGAATGTTTTCAAATAGATTATTATAAATAAATATTGTAACATTGCTAATATTTATAAAAATTATATAAACTGAATTGCAAAGTTAAAATTATTTGATTAAAGTATATTAGAACTATAGTCAGAATTGAAAATAAAATCTGAATTATTTTTGATATACAAAATAATTTTTTTTGAAAAAAAAAAGTTAAAAACAAATTATTTTTTCCAAAATCAATTATTTTGTTAAGACAAGCAGAAAGTTCTTTGAATCATTTAAATCGGACGCTTAGTTCTCTCAAAAACTGCCATTTTTACACATTTAGCTCCGTATCTTGGCCTGCTTTTGCCAAAAACTAATAAACACTTTTCTCATCATTACTAATTGAATGTTTTTTAGATCATTCAAATCGGATGCTTCGTTCTTTCAAAAACTCGATTTCTATTTTCTGCACTCTTTGCTCTTTATCTCCGTAACTGCCAGACCTGCCTTTGCCAAAAACTAATCAGCTCATCTCCCTATCAATAGGAATCGAATGTTTTTTGAACCATTCAAATCGGTTGATCCGTGCGGCCAAAAACGTGACTAGAAATTTGTATCCATACATACATACGCACACATACACACACATTCATTTTTTCTGAGTATGCCAAAATGTTCAGAAACCTTCAAAACGTCGAGAAATGTAAAAATTTTCAATTTCGATTTTCGGCCCATTACAATAACTTATCCTACGGGAAGTTAATAAATAATAAATAATAATAATACATTAGTGGGTGTATATTTAAGATATAAAATACACACATAATAGCAGTAAAATTTATACAAATGTGTCGTTACTTTCATATTTCGTTGAATATTTTATTTTATCCATAAACGTCGCATTATTTATTTTCTATTCGTGGTTTGTTCTCACAAAACCCACAATTTCCAGATATTTTCCTCTTTTTCTAATTTTTGCATTCTTTCCAGTATGTACCATGTGTTCTAGCAAATTCATTGCTCGGATATAGAAAATAATACTACAAAAGACTTTCAAAAGAGAGCACTATATGAGTTATGGAATTAAATTCAGCATAGCTGAATAATAAAGACTTCTAAAAAAATCAATTATACATAACAATATTTTTATTTATTTTTATATAAATTATTATTATGTTTAGTAAAAATAAATGCATATTATAAAATTAGTTAGTTAACATTTGTTATATATTTTAAATCGTTACTTAAAACTGTTGACTCCCGAGTTATATTGCAACAACAAGTGGGTTTAATGGGTAGATTTTAATAATAATTCAAAAATTCGTAATCGTAAAAAATCACTTATATTTAATGATATTTATCATAAACTTGTAACTGAATTTTCTAAAATCGGTTTTTATCTATTTTTTACAGTGCCACCGAAAGCATGGCATCGTCTCCTGGAAACAACCGTTTGAAATCGTGCCAGATTTTCCGAAAGGACACCAAGAAAACACCCGTTCTGACAAAGGAACCTTCCTTGTCCAACGATAGTCAAAATCCATGTACGTGTTCCACAGACTCCAATAATGGCCAAAGACGAAGTATCAATAATAAGAAAAAATCGCTCAAGAATTCGGAATCACTTCCTTGCGCTGTCACGTGGGATGGTTCCAAATCCATGGCCAGCACTGTGATATGCGTTGATGATAATTCAACGTTAAATAATATAAATTCAGGCCTAGGACCGCACTTTGAATGTGACTTTGGAAAGATCGCATTCTCAAAATGACAGGGCAAATCAGCGTATCAGGACGCAGCAGAACAGGTCTAGGGATTCTTCGAGGCATGGGCGGATAATTAGGCTCGAACAGAAGGCTACAAAGGTCAGTTAATAATTAATAAAACTGACGTATTTTATTGAGTTTCAATTTTACTATAAAAATTGTGGAACAACCAGTCATCCAGTTATTTGATATCGATCGAGTTGTATAAAATGATTTTTATCTTTTAAATCGGTGCAGCACTTTTATGAAAACGTCGACAAAAGGTCGAACTTTTATCTTCCCGTAGGGTAAGTAATAGTAATCGCAAAAAATCGAAAATTTTTGCTTATCTTTACATTTGAAGGTTTCTGAACATTTTGGCATATCTTAGAAAAAATGGATGTAAGTGTGTGTGTGTATGTTTGGACACAATTTTTTCGTTCACGATTTCGGGCGCACGAATCAACAGATTTGAATAATTCAAAAACATTCGATTCCTATTGATAAGGAGACGTGCCGATTAGTTTTTCGTGGAGACAGTAATTCAGTTTTTGAGAGAACGAAGTATCCGATTTGAATGATTCAAAACATTTTACTTGTATTTAATAAAGAATTGATGTAATTTTCGGTGAGGCAGGCTAGCGGTTTCGGAGATACAGAGGAAAAGTAAAGAAATATCAGATATTTGATAAAGTTTTTAAAAATGAGTACTAATTTTGTTGGGTTCCATACCAAGATTGTTAATTTTTAAATTTACTTATACAATTCCAGCAAATTTCAAAATTTTCAGAAAAAAAAAACATTTCAAAATTTTAAGAATATACAAAGTTTTATACTTCAAATATGAATGTTTAAATTTACAATTCAGTTTGAAAATGTACATATTTTCAAATGCGTTATTTAATCGTAAGAAATATATCCTCAGGCGGATTTATTCGGCACCTCTTGCTAATGTAAACTTTCTCAGGTGTTTTGAGTGATAAGATCCTCAAATTTTATGAACAATAAAATATATACTGATTATAATTTCTATTTGATAATGTATAAAACATTGTTGTAATATATAATCTTAATCTTTTCTTGATACTAATTTGTTTGCCTCGAATATATAATTCTGGTACTGGAAGTTCCAGCAATTTGCCTTAAGGCACGATGCCATACAACACTAGTTATCTTTTTTAAGTCGGTGCCGTTTTCATGAGAATGTCGACAAAAGTCGAAATTTTGTCTGTTAACATATATTTTTTTCAATATTGATTTCAAACAATTCAAAGTTGGATTTTCTAAGAAACAAACTCCCTCTTCGGGAAGCCTTCTAGAAACTTAGTATACACTCTTGTATATAACATTCGTTCTTATTTTTATTTTTAGGTTTTGGGAGTAGTCTTCTTTACATTTGTGGTTCTATGGGCTCCATTCTTCGTATTGAATCTACTGCCTTCAGTTTGCGAGAGTTGCGAAAAAGACGTTAGTGGTTGGGTCTTCGAATTTGTCACATGGCTTGGCTACGCCAGTTCCATGGTCAACCCTATTTTCTATACAATTTTCAATAAAGTCTTTAGGCAAGCATTCAAAAAGGTAATTAGAAAAATAATATACATTAAGAATATATAAATATCTGATTTTTTTATTAATAATTTTTATAAATTTTAGGTTTTATTATGCCGATACAGGAGCTCAAAGTGGAGACCTCATAGGTAGCGCGTCCGGCGCCGCGGTGCTCCACCGCAAGAATCAACTCAACCATCGTTGCTCACTGCACTTTAATTAGATTTTGGATTAGTTTTATAAGGTAATTACAGGATATAAATACGTTTTAAGTATTACAAATAAAGCAACTTATATATGATGATCCGAATTCATTATATATGTCTCAATATTTTATCAGCTATTGTAATACAATTATACATTTTTTTTATGTAAATAGTTTTTGATGCTTATAAGTTCTTGTATATTGCATTCATATGCGTACAAATAAATATTTACATGTATATATAAGCTATCATCCACAAAGCAGCTCTACAGGTACGATAACGAATCCTTTTATTTTTCTTACTCTTCTTTTTCGATTTACAAACATCTTTTTGCTTCTTACGTCGGATTAAGTTTCTCTGTTTTACCTTTTCAAAATGATTTTTGTTCCTATCTAAATCAACCCCTTGTAAAATTGTTACTGTTAGAATTTCAAGAAAACTGATCCTAATATTATACTATATATACTGTGAATTACAATATACTCATAAGATGTACTCAGTGGCGTCGGAACCGTGTGGGCTGTGTGGGCTTGAGCCCACCCATGAATTTTGATGGGGGGGCTCAGCCCACCATCAATTTCAAAAATTATATGGGCTAATATTCTAAAAAAAAGAGCCCACTAGTTGTCTATCAAAAAAAAAAAAAAAAAAACGAGCCCACCCATCAAAATTGGTTCCGACGCCACTGGATGTACTATAAGAATATAATACCCAAACATAATATTATTTATACTTTAAATGATATTAAAATTCATACCCAATCGAGTATTGTCTATTTAAATTATACGTGAAACCATTAAAAAAATGCATATTGGTACTTATTAAATTTGTTTTACTATTATCCAAATGAGTGTTAACAATTGTTGCAATATAACATCAGTTGTTTCAATAATTTTAGAGGATTAAATTCAATAAATATTTTTTAGGATTAATAATTTTAGAGAGGTACTACTTATTTGCCTTATACTAGGTATATGTGTGCCAGAAAAGGGCTCCACAAATAATTGTGATATTGTTCGAATAAGTAAGTGAATCATTATATTGTAATATTGGATATTATATATAAATATGCAAAAATATATACGTACATATATATATATATATATATATATATACATATATATATATATATATAAATTTGCTTATTATTTAGTATGTATAATTATGATGTTTGTATAGATATGTGGATATATACATAAGACTATTAACTTGTCTAGCTAATGCATGTATATGAATTAATACTGAAAACATTTT